TAGTCGTGGTGGTGGTGGTGGTAGTAGTAGTAGTAGTAGTAGTAGCAGTAGTAGCAGTAGTAGTAGTAGTAGTACTACTACTACTACCACCACCACCACGACGACTACTACTACTACTACTAGTAGTTGTAGTAGTAGTTGTTGTTGTTGTAGTAGTAGTAGCAGCAGCAGCAGCATTGGCAATGGCATTAGTAGTAGTAGTAGTAGTAGTAGTAGTAGCAGCAGCAGCATTGGCAAGGCATTAGTAGTAGTACTACTACTACTACTACTACTACTACTACTAGTAGTTGTAGTAGTTGTTGTTGTTGTTGTAGTAGCAGCAGCAGCATTGGCAATGGCATTAGTAGTAGTAGTAGTAGTAGTAGTAGTAGCAGCAGTCGTCGTCGTCCTCCTCGTCCTTGTCGTCGCACCTGCAGCAGGAGTAGTAGTCGTAGTAGTGGCAGCCGTCGTCGCCGTCGCAGCAGCAGTAGCAGCGGCAGCAAGGACTGGCAATGGTAAGAGCAAGTGATAGTACAGTAGTTAATGCCCACGGTCATGGCCATGGGCAAGGTCAAAGTTAGCGTAACAATAGCTAGTCAGGGTAGTAATGGTAGGAATTGTCGCAGTCGTCGTGGTCGTCGTGGTCGTCCTAGCCGTCGTACGTCGCAGCCGCCGTGACGCAGTAGCCGCAGTGGCTGCAGCAGTCGTCGTCGTTGTAGTGGCGATGTTAAACGGTCGCGGGGGCATAGAAATACTACTGGTATGAGTAGAGTCGTCGCGGTGGTCATAGGCTTAGCCGTACAAATGAAGAACAGCAACAAGCAGAGGCGTTTGAAAAGTTTGGTCGCCGCATGTCGTTGCTATGTGAAAGTGACGATACGTGTCTTAGCGTGCTTCGGCAGTCATGTGGATTTCAGTGGCCTCTACGATAATGGGAATACTGGTGATGTCGGCATTGGTGTTGCGCTACTAGCACATACCAGCACCCGTTCGTGGCATTGGCACTGAGACTTGCTCTTGCAATGATAGCCGTGACACTGTGATTAGTTTCCGCTTTCCGCTCAAGCGATGCAGACGACGCAGGGAAGCCCTTGCTTCCATTTTGGTCAAGACCCAAAGCTTTGCCTCATCAAGTCGCCCACTTCACCTCATTGCCGAGCTGAAGCCTTGAAGATGCTGGGCCTCCGTGGCACAATGACCAACATGCAGTCTGCGTCGCTTCCTGCACTTCCAATCGAAGCTTTTTGGATGGCGCGGGGCGAGTGACGGGTCTCAGCCTCCGAAGCTTCGCTTCGAAAGGCGTCGGAGGGTTTCGGAACTCGGTTTCGAAACTCAGCGTGCCGCAGAGAAGACGCCGCGAGAAAATCCTGGCTCGCAGGGCTCGGCCTGTTTGGCAGAAAGAGCCCGCGCCAAGCCGTGTAGTCGTATGGCCAACAAGCCACGGCGGATTCGGGGATGATCGCGACCCATTAGCCCATTAGATTCGGAAGACAAGATACTCTAAGCCTAACCCGAGACCAGGCATGTGCCATGCAAGGGGCCTTCCCTGTTCAAAGGTGACACGAATTCTTTAGAAATACAGGCAAAGACATAATAAGACACAAAGGCGATATAAGGACACCTTTGCCTCGTGGGAGCGTAGCAGCGTTACCAGCAGAGGTGGTCTTCGGAGATCCACTTGCTCACCCTGCGTTCTAAGAACTCAGATCTGAAAAACATCATCAAAATCTCTATCCGTTAACTCCGACCTGCTGCGGGCCAGGATACCAAGAAAGTGACTTCTTGTCACAACCGCTCGAGGTGGTAAAACAACAGCTTCTTCCACGTCATCGCTTGGCACTGTTGTCAATGCCACTAGCCGAAGTGAAGCCGCGAACTTTTCCCGCACAAACTGGTTGAACTTGCTCACGCGATCCTTCTGGATGAGCTCCAGTATCATGAGGCGGTCGGACTCCACAGTGGCCTGCGATTTCTCAGCATCCACTTTGGATAACATATGCTCGATCAACTCATCGCCCTGCTGTAAGCTTTGAATGACCTGCTGCTCTGCGGCTGGGACAAACCCACAAGATACCTCCGCCTTCAGCTTCTGTGCCATGTATATTTCGTACAAGCACCTGCCGCGTTTCTCATGCGTAAGAAGACGAAGACACGATGCTCACATCAGCCTCTATCGTGGCCGGCTAGAAATGCGAGGGAACCCTCCACCCTATTGACCATCACAGACTCAAGTCGATCTATGACAAGCATTAAAAACAAAACACCGCTGCGAAGCTTACATTGAAGCCCCAGAGAGTGCGACTGCTGCAGCCCAAGCACCAAGATCTTGAAAGCAGCTGCGGTTCGTGGTGAGGCGTCAGGGCCAGCAACACGCGACGAGGCGTGCGGATCGAGTTTGTCAGAGCCTCTAGCATCACGTCATACATATCTTGTCCAGACTGGTCCTTCCGATCAGGTCCAGCAAGATCGGACAGGTCGTGCTGGTTCATACTGAAGACATCGAAGAAAAAGAAATTACTCTTGTTCGTGTTTTCGTCGTAACGCCTCATGATCTTCACGACATCCTGAAAAGGGCTCGCCCAACAGTGGCTTACCATGACAGTCGGTGTGTTCAGGTGCTGAGAGCGAGGGTGTCGATGAGCGTCCGGCGGCAAGGAATCCCATCCTGCAAACTCGCACTCAACAGGGGACCCTAAACCGAGCTCATCAACCCGAGAGATCAGAAAAGAACCGTCTTGGTACACCACGAACACGGCGCCGGTCCTGCGTTGAGCGCCTCCCAGGCGGAGCAACGTGCAGCAGCGGTGAGCGGCTTGACATGTGTCTGGCATAACTCGCTCGTTTGCAGGAATGTGTCTACAACCTGACCGTCCCCGTCCGCTTCAGCAGCCAGTTGCAGGAAGCCCTGCATGATTGAGTGCTCAAGCCCACGATGCCAGACAGGAGTTTGCACGCCGTGTTGGCGATCCTCCCGGCATCGAAGATTTTCTGCACCAGCCTGTACTAGCTTGACCATCTGATCTGCAGCAAGAGGCTGCGTTTGGCGAGCTTTCATTCGTAGCTGCTTTAGTGTCAAGGTCAGTTCCCCGACCAGCAAAATCAACACCACAAAGCCCGCAGCAAGCATGATGACATAAGTATAGATGAATCCTCCCAACTGATTCAGCTCGGGAATAAACGCCGGCAAGAGCCCACTCGGCGCATACACAGTGCATACAAGCAAAAGCAGGTAAAGGCCCAACTGGGTGTACCTCAGACGGTGAGCAAGTCTCCTCGGAAGATCCGGTGGCAACTGGGCCCACAGCTTGTGCAAATTCCTCGCAAGCAGTCCAAAGGCGACAGGGGGCATGCATCCGAAGATGAAGCTCACCTGCCCAATGTAAAAGATTTTGATAGCCAGAGCCCTGGACATGTCCTCCAGGACTGCCATAAGTGTCAGAAACGTACCGAGGACCACGACCTGACTGAGCATGAACCCGAAGCCGGCGCCGAAGGACAACCTCAGGCTCCTGGCTTTCTTCGCGGGATCCAGTGCGAAAATCAACATAACAGACTCTCTGCAAATGTCCCAGTATATGATCATCAGCAGGGCGATGTGGTTCATCACATCTCCAAGTACGAAAAACGTGAGAAGCAAAATATCCTGTGAGGGAAGGATCGTCGGATTGTTGATCCGCACGAAAGCTTGTGGTGCACTCAGCACGAAGCCAAGCACCCCCAGCGAGAAGCTCAAAACGCGAACCAAGGGCCGGCTGACCCACAGC